CTGTGTCACACACATTACTTGTCTCACAAAAATATTCTGCACTGGACTTATCCAACATATTAAAATAATTTTTAATTTTTAGACAACACAAAACAATAAAAGAACAATAAAAGCTACAGTAAAACTAAACCTATCAACCTCACACTTAAATACTTAAATTCTTAAATGAAGGTTTTTTTAGTTTTGGTGATGTTACATTTCCTGAAATAAAAATTCATATAAAATGCATTAAAGATAATGCCAGAAGAGTTGGGTAAACCATGTTATGGTATTTATTTCTTCATTAAAAGGAGACTGGCCTTTATTCAAATGAAAGAAATCCATAGACAGAGGAAAGAAATGAATAGAGAAAGTAACTGGTAACAGTTCATTTGTCATCTTCTTCCTCCCTCCCTCCCACCTTCCTTCCTAGTTCATTCCTCCTTTCCCACCTGCCTTCCTTCTGTCTTTCTCTTTCCCTCCTTCCTTCCCCTTCCCATGCCCTTTGTTTTCTCCTTCTTTCATTATTTGTTCTGTAATTATTGAGAGTCATTAGGTTTCTAAAACTTCTTCTCTTCTATTCCAACTGATGTTCGATGGAATCAGAAGTGGTGCTAAGAGGAAAACACCGCTGCTAAGGGCCTAAGTTCTAGACAGACAGACAGTCTTGGGCTTCAATTCTGGTTTTCCCTTTGCTGTTGGGATTGCTTTGGACAAGTTTCTTTACCTCATCTCTAAGAAAGGGAAAATAGTACCTACTCTGATGAGCCATTGTATTATTTAAATGGACAAACATAGGCAGCCTGAGGACCACTGAGCCCGGTATGTGGAAGGTGTTTGATGTATTTATTCATTCCATCTTTTCCTTACTACCCTTTACACTAGCACTTTTTTCTTCAAAGAATTATTTGTATTTATTATTCTAAAATCCAAACTTTGTCCTTTTGAACAAAAAGTTCATTTTGTTTTCCTGCAAAGTCTTACAAAATTGTAAGAATCTGCAATTATTGTAGTAATTGTAATTATTAACAGTCACAGATAATTCACAGTAATCACGTGCCATAGAGCCCACAAGCTTCCCCCAAGTGCAAGAGTGCTCATCTAAACTTTTGGCCTAGAAACATTTGGTTTATGGCAACTCCACTGTTCTTTCCCTCAAGTTCTCTAGAAGTTTCTGCTTTCCTTCAGTTTAGAAATTCTTCTGTTTGTAATTGCCAGCAGAGAATAAAGTGACATATGACAATGAAAATTTTTAAATTTGAGTAGTATTTGCTTTTAAGTTTTTATAACTTTTGAAAACTAGAGTTGATGATAATCATCAGCTGAGAGGTATTTACTGAATATTAATTTGTGTGTGGATTTGAGAATAAATATGGGCCCTTGTCCTCTAAAAGCTTCCCAAGGGAAGGGAAGGCGATGTAGGCCCTCAAGAATTCCACATATCTATAGAGTATTTCAGAAGGCTGGAAGTCTTTCATACATTCCTTAAGCCTTTGGCTTTTTTTTTTTCACATTTCCTCACAGACCTTTGCACTTAATAGACAAAGTAACAGAGAGCAGATAAGTGAATGAATGACTGTAGTAAACTGCTTGAGTAAATGTTTAACTTACACAAACTACTCCACCTATTAGCAGGGATTAGATGTGAATGGAAGAACATCATTGATATTTTTTTCAGGTAAATTTCAATATTGCTTTCTAAGCTGGTTTAGAACACGTTGCAAGAATAAGGCACAAAATATGTTTAAGTTTTGACAACTGAAGAGGTACCAGACTATTGATTAAAGATTCATGCAAATTGTTTTCCACACCTCTTTAAAAGTTTTCCTGTGACTCTTTTCATCTAAGAGGAAGAAGTGGAACCACAATTGAATTCTTCATTGGATGTTGAAGAGTTTTTGATTTAGCCACTTTGCTATTATTTAAATGATAAATTATAAAAGGTGGGGGTGGTGTTGGGTTAAGTCCATAGAAAAAACTGAGGGCAAATCAACAGTTTTTGTGAACAGTTGAAATGTAAATGCTGTTGAGATTCTGGTCCAGTTTCAGATAAGTGGAAAATAAGCTATTGTTTTAATTTAATTCCAAAGCTGCTTTTCATTATTTCTGGGTTTTATTACACCCATCAAAAGCCATAGAATGATTAGCCTTTCTTGTTCAACTTTAAGGAGACATTTTTAAGTTTTTCATTGTATTTCATACAGAAGACTAGTGGGTGGGTTTTCTATTTCTTCCAATTTTAGCAATATTAAACATAATTGTAACTATTTTCTGAGTTACACTTTGAGAACACTTAACAATTGCTTTACTGAAAAACCTGACAAAGAAATTAGAATAAGAACTAGAGGCGGGTGAACAGAAAATTATTTCAAAATAGGTGCAGTAGAAGTGTACTCAGTTCTTACTGATTAACAAATTAATGGGAGAACAGAAAAATAAATAAGTTTTAAATAAAAGATAAACAACTTCTTCACTCTGAAAACAGTTAAGTTTCTTTAACCAAGTGACCTTTGCAAAACTTACAGAAGGAAACAGTATTCAATTAAGAATATAGTTGAACACATAGAAATAATTGTTGCTATGGCTGGAACTATTTAATTCTATGGTTAAATAAGGAGTGAAGGAGACACAAAAATTTCTTTATGAGTAGATTAACCTCACTCTGTCCTGTAGTTAATACTACACATCAGCCTGCAGCAAAACCTCTCTGATACGGATGCTGTTCCTCGTAAACAATTGCATAATGGCTGCATGAATAAGTATGGCTAGGTGCAAATCTATTTCCAAGCAGAATAAAAGTTCTCTAGGTCCCTAGTATCAGGTCTACATGACTTTATGTGTTCTTTATGAAGAACAATATACTGTCACTGGAAATTTCTAAATGATATCAACAAATATAAATATTTGCTACACCAAAAAAATGTAGCAAATGATGTATCGCTTACTGAGATGGAATTAGATACAAGGAATAGCCCATACTCTTACTCTGGTAATTATACATATACAGTTCATAAGTGATTATGACAAGTAGCAGGGAAAACAGGGTAAGATCATTTGAAGGTATCTATTTTTACCTTAAACAAGTTTAAATTTTAATTCCAGAATCCCTTTTAAACCACAGGAGATAAAATAAATACAAATGTACAAATGTTGATAAAATATAATAGCCAAGAGCAAAATATAGAATGTATTTTATTGCCAGTAATTAAGAGTACAGTTTTAAGTTGTAGAATCAATACCCAAGTGATAGTAGGTTTGGGTAAAAACTACATACAGAAAGATAAAGTCCATTCAAAAATTTACTTGGAACCATAAACAACCCTGAGTAGCTGTAGCAATTTTGAGAAAGAAGAACAAAGTAGGAGGGATCACCATACCTGATATAAAACTATATTACAAGTCCATGGGAATCAAAGCAGTCTGGTACTGGCATAAGAACAGACACATAGATCAGTGGAACAGAATAGAGAGTCCTGAAATAAACCTAAGTCCCTATGGTTAATTAATATTCAACAAAGGGGCAGAAGCATAAAATGGAGTAAAAATAGTCTTTTCAACAAATGGTGTTGGGAGATCTGAACAGCTACATGCAAAAAAAAAAAGGAAGAAAGAAAAAATAAACTCAAACACCAACTTACACCATACACAAAAATAAACTTAATGTGGATAAAAAGACTTAAATATAAGTCACACACCATAAAATTCCTAGAGGAGTACATAGGCAGGAAAATCTCAGATATTCCACACAGCAATATTTTCACCGATATATCCCCTAGAGCAAGCAACGTAAAGGAAAGAATAAACAAATGGGACCTCATCAAATTAAAAAGTTTCTGCACAGCTAAAGAAAACATCAGCAAAATGAAAAGGGAACCAACCATATGGGAAAATATATTTGCCAATGATATCTCAGACAAGAACTTGATCTCCAAAATACAGAAAGAACTCACTCGACTTCACTCCAGGAAGACAAACAATCCAATTAAAAAATGGGCAAAGGACGTGAACAGACACTTCTCCAAGGAGGACATACAGAGGGCCCAGAAACATATGAAAGGATGCTCAGCATCACTAGCCATCAGAGATATGCAAATTAAAACCACAATGAGATACCACTTCACACCAGTCAGAATAACCATTATCAACAAATCAACAAACAACAAGTGCTGGCGAGGTTGTGGAAAAAAGGGAACCCTAGTGCACTGTTGGTGGGAATGCACACTGGTGTAGCCACTGTAAAAAACAGTATGGAATTTCCTCAGAAAACTAAAAGTGGAACTACCTTTTGATCCAGCAATTCCACTTCTGGGATTATACCCTAAGAATCTTGAAACACTAATTCAAAAGAACCTATGCACCCCAATGTTCATAGCAGCAGAATTTACAATAGCCAAGTGCTGGAAGCAATCTAGGTGCCCACCAGTAAATGAGTGAATAAAAAAACTATGGTACATTTACAGAATGGAATTCTATGCAGCAGAAAAAAAGAAGGAGCTCCTACCCTTTGCAACAGCGTGGATGGAACTGGAGAGCATTATGCTAAGTGAAGTAAGCCAGGTGGTGGAAGACAAATACCATATGAGCTCACCTATAAGTGGAACCTAATCAACAAAACAAGCAAGCAAAATATAACCAGAGACATTGAAATTAAGAACAAATGAAAAGTAATGGGGGGGGGAGAGGAGGGGGCTAACAGGGGAAAGAGAGGAAGGGTCATCAAGGAACATATATAAAGGACTCATGGACAAAGCCAAAGTGGGGAAGGATGGAGGGTGAGACTTAGGGATGGAAAATCAGTAGGGGGGAAATACAGACAACTGTATTAGAACACAATAGAAAGAAGAAAGAAAGAAAGAAAGAAAGAAAGAAAGAAAGAAAGAAAGAAAGAAAGAAAGAAAGAAAGAAAGAAAGAAAGAAAGAAAGAAAGAAAAGAAAGAAAGAAAAGAAAGAGAGAGAGGGAGAGAGAGAGAGAGAGAGAGAGGGAGGGAGGGAGGGAGGAAGAAAACGTCCAATATGATTACCTTTGCACCTCATTCTTGGTCTCTATGAAGCTTCATAGTTGGGAGTGCAAAACTCAGCAAGCAAGTATGTTTGGTGGACATAGGCAAACTGTGCATTTACTGGAGGTTCTTATAATGAATTGTTCCTGCTGACCTGTGTTCAATTATCACAGCTTCCTAATGGCTTTTTACCTACTAAGAAGTCTAGTATGCTGCTGATAACTGAGATGTTTTGCTCAAACAACCCATGAGCCAAGAGGAAAGGGAGCATATGCTGGGAAAATCTCAGTGGATTGGTAGTAATCTGACATAGGACATTTCAAATGCTTGGCAAGCAAATAATTATCCACACATGGTAATGTATTAAAGTGTTGAGAACTGTATCTAGTAAACTGGATACAAAATTGATTATTATGGAATACAAATATTTTTGATAGTTACACTTGTTGCCTTTCTACAACATCATTAAGAAAATAGACCCAGGACAAAAGAGGCATTTAGTTTTATATGTTTTCATTTGCTTTCCTTCCCACAACATTATTCCATATTTACAATGTTGTATGTAATTTTGAGCAGAGAGGGAAACAAATTTTCAAATGCTCTCCATATTTTTGTTATAGCCTAATTCTCTATTTATCATTGATAGGATATATTTCAAGACTTGTAAATTACCTAAAAATTGTGTGCATGGGGATTTGTAGTAAGCTTCTTTTTCCATGACTTTAAGAGTTCATAAAATAATGTTTATCTATTGTGGGTGAGACATGAGCACTTACCTTCTATATGGTTATTAAAAAGAGAGTCATGTGGTTGTGTTTGGAATTCCCGATATTTTTTACCTCCCCCAAAATGCTTTCCCTAGGCCAGTATGAATTTTTTTACTTCCTGCAAATCTGAACATCAGCATAATATATAATCTTAGAAGATTCACAATAAATAGGGTATTGTGCATGTAACTAGCAAAATTATCAAAATAAGACATCAAAGTATAAGTGCCCAGCAGTTTATTAAAAAAAAGTATTTTGTGAGATTCTAAGAAATGAAAGGATTATGCATTCTGTAAAATTACTATAAATATTTTTATCTTAAAGTTATGTTAAATCTTTTTCAAGTCTAGGGAGACTGGTTTAATCAAGCTAGGATTTCTTTTTACTCAGTGATTCAATTTGGTTAAATCTGTCTTGTCTTTTCTAGAAAAGAAAATAAATTTTCTACCTACCTTCTCAACCTCCACACAGAGGTCAAACTCAAAGGTTTGTGTGTAGGCGTGTACCTCTGTGAGCTGAGTCATTGTGCTTCAAAGAACTCAGCACTGGGTGTAGGCGACGCTGATGCCTCCTGTGTGCTTGCAACCTAAGCTCTACTTTGAAACAGCTGGGGTCCACCCCAGCACACCTGGCCAGCTGAGGAATGTGTGCATTCATTTTTTCACTGTAGATGCAAGCTTTAGGCACAGGGGTACAGTAATCAACGAAATATGCATGATTTCTCTCCTGCTCTATGGAATTTACAAATACTCGATCTAGACATTGAATGTTCAAATAAATAATATAGTAATTACAGATTATGCAAAATACTATAAAGGAAATAAAGAATAACGAGAAAGAGCCCTGTAGGTGGAGTTGTCAGAGAGGGTCTCGCTGTAAAGGGGATATTTCACATAAGAGCAGACCAGTCTTGAGAAAGTCTGGGTAAGAAAATTGCAGGCATGGGAAACTGCTCACTTAAAGGTCTGTGGCAAGAAAGAGCTTAGTTAGCCCTTTTGAAGAAAGGAAACAAAGGCCAGTTTGACGAGAAGGTGGTTGGACAAGGGAGAAGCTGGTGCATGAAAAGAATGAAAAGGCACAGAGGGGTCAGGTCCTACAGCATTTTGTAGGCTATGACAGAGGGTTTAAATTTTGTTTATGACACATAAAGTCACCTCGGACTCATCATGTCCAGAATTAAACCTGGGATCTTCTTGTCTGTATCAGTCAGGTCAGCCCAAAACAGGAAACACTCCAGGTCTTTCAAACAGGGTTAATTTAATTGAGGGGATTGCTTACACAGGTGATAGGAGAGCTGAGAAGCAAAGCAGAATGGTGAGGCAACCTAGACGTTACCAAGTCTCTATACCCTGAGGGACAAAGAAGGGAGCTGGCCTTCATATTCTGGTGCCCTCTCACTTCATAGTAACATATGGCTGTAATTCTGGATCATAGGTGATTTACTATATTTTATTATTTTAAAATTTATTTTAATGTTGCAGATTGAACAGCCAGACACTATGTACTTCTCGATATGATGCAATGGGGAAGCACACAGTACCATCAATTCGATGCAGTGTTCAGTTCTTGTTAGGCTCATAATTCAAACAAACCACCGATTAAAAAGCACTATGAACAATGAACAGACTCACAGATACAGAAAACAGACATATAGTGATCAGAGGGGAGGGGGGTTGCAGGGATGGGTGAAAAAGTGAAAGAACTAAGCAAGCAGACAAACAGCAACAAAACCTTCACAGACTCACAGTATGGTGATTAGCAGAGGGAAAGGAGGATGGGGGAGGAAGGAAAGGGTGAAGGGGAATAGATGGTGATGGAAGGAGACTAGACTTGGGGTGGTGAACACACAATACAATGTGCAAATGATGTATTAGAATTATACTCCTGAAACATATATTTTATTAGCCAATGTGACCCCAATAAATTCAATAAAAATTTTAAAGAACTAAATGCAAAATAATAAACACTGCCCTGGCTGATGTAGCTCAGTGGATTGAGCACGGGCTGCAAACCAGGCATCACAGTTTCGATTCCCAGTCAGGGCACATGCCTAGGTTGCAGGCCATGGCCCCCAGCAACCGCACATTGATGTTTCTCCCTCTCTCTCTCTCTCTCTCTCTCTCTCTCTCTCTTTCTCTCTCTCTCTCTCCCCTTTCTCACTCTAAAAATAAGTAAATAAAAAATCTTTAAAAAATAATAAACACTGGATATTTACTGAGAAATAGGAGTTATTAATTTTTCTAAATTTGGTAACAGTATTTTACTTGCATGAAAAGAGTTTACATTTTAGAGACACATATTTAAAAATTTATGAATGAAATGACATGATGGTCTGGAAATGGCTTAACAATAATCCCGTTGATTAGAGAGTGGAGTTTAGAAAAAATCAGATTGGCCACATGTTGCTAATTGTTGAGATGGTTGTTCAGTGTACTATTTCAACTATTTTTCTTTTGTATGAACTTTTCTACAAATAAAACATCAGAAACAAATTTGTAGGGACAGATGGCACTTCCTAGAGAGCATTTGCAAGGAGAAAAAAAAGAAATCTAAAAACTGTGTGTAGAAAATCAACTTTCTGAGGTGGAGGAAGGGAGGAACCAATAGAGAGTCAAAATAGGAGGGGCAAAGTTGAAGAAAGAACTCAGGAGAATGTGGCATGGCAAAGCCGAGAAAGAACAGATAGGGTGGTCCAAGTACATGGGGTGTGACCGAGAAACCAAGTGAGATGTGGCAGGCAAGCCCTTCTCATCTCATGTGTGACTGTAGGCTTTGGTATGTCGTTGGCAAGAGGGAGGAAAAATGATAAGATTGGGATTCAGTCTTGGGGGAGTGAGGCATTGCTCCTTGCACTTGAGTATGTGACCTTCTCTGTTTACTGAAGAAAACTGGGCACAGACACAAGCCAAAGCAAGTCACCTGGGTTCCCATTTGCCATCACACCTTGTGTGATTATCTCAGGAAGTTCTCCAAGAGGAATGGGTATAAATTATGGGAAATTTCAGACCTACCTCAGTGTTGTGGACATACTGTCACAAAGTAGTGTGAAAATTCAATTTTATCTTCACTTCTAACACCTTTCATGCTCTAAGATTTATGGAAAATATTCATTTATGGAAGATATTTTGAAGTCAGTATGAAAAAGTTCCATAAAATCAAAGATTGTTAGCAGAAGTAATTTAGCCATGATACCTTATAATTTATGAAAAACAAAGAGCTTATCCATGGGTAACTTTTTAAGTGCCCATACATTTTGGAAAAGAAATGAGATTGGTCCTCACCATTTCTTTAAGTTTTTTTATAAGTTGTATATAATACCCTTCTTTATCATCTTAGCTCTGTGTGCTTTTAGGATATAGATGTAAAGAGTCTTTCCACAGGTAAACCAACAAGTACTTACTGAGCACTTGTTAAGTATCAGGCACTATTATAGACACCAGGTGGTAACAGTGGGCAACAAGGCAGTAAACAGAAACAGTCAAAATGCTTGGTCTCTTGAAGTTTGCATTTGGATTAAAGAGACATTTCATTTTTTTAACAAATATATTCTAGATAGTGACAAGTATTACGCAGAAAGATCAAGCAGGTAAAAGCGTAGAAAGTGAGAAGGGCATGTTTAACAGTTGGTCAGAGAAGTCTCTGTGATGAGGTGGCATCTGAGCAGGGTCCTGAATGAAGGGAGAGAGGGAGCCTTGCTCTCTAGGAGGCACATCCCAGACAGAAGGGACAACAAGTGCAAAAGCCCTGCAGTGAGTGGTATTGATGCTTTGAAGAACAGCAGCCTTTGGAGGAGCAGAGTGGCTGCAGTAGAGGGAGTGAGGAGAAAAGTAGAGGCAAAGAGAATGAGATGGGCACGGGGAGCTGCGGAGTGGAGACAGACCATGAAAAGCCTTGTAGACCACGCTAAAGGCTGGATGTTTTTAGGTGAAAGGGAGAGGGTTGGATGGCTTTGAGAATGAGTACAGCATGATCTGACTTGGTTTTTTAAACCATTTTGGTGTTTTGGTGTGTTTGCCCATTATTTATCTGCTACTGTGAGTAAAGTTTGAGGAAATATCTTAGGAATGGTCAAGCAAAGTATAGACATCTTCTTACTCTTTAGTAGCTTCCCAAGGCCATTTAAAGTCTCAGAAAAGCTCATGCAGTAATTTGTGGCAAATAAAAGAAATAATTAGTATGAATGCATGGTATTATTAACATAGTAAGGTGCATTTCTGAATGTCAAGTTATTAAATTCAATGTGCCATATTGATTGAAAGTAACATTTATCCATTCTCTCCCATTTCTTTCTAATTTGTAGAACAAACTGAAGCCAAAAGCAGTTAGTTCCCCTGTGCAGGACCACATATCTGAGTACTTTAAGCAGGACAAAGGCTAAGGTTTC